CTCTTTTCTCTAAAAATACCTGTCATGTTACACCTTCCTCTTAAAACTGTCTCACTGAAGAGTCACACATATCTAATATGTGTTCTGTGTTAACAGTTACAGTGTGAAGTGCACTCACCATTTCCAGGCCACTGAGCAATTTAATACCAATTTAATATGATAAGAAGGCAACAAACTGACAAAATGTTGCTTTGAATTAAAGAAACACTATATAGAATGTGTTAAAATACACATTGGTCTGACTTCAGGACCATTGTAGCATGTGACCTTTTTTTGGGATATTTAATGTTTTATTAAATTCTTTAGATTAAATCCTGGGAAAAGTTTTTTGATCCCTTTACAGTAATTTTATCCAACTTTGTAATAATCTTTTTAACAAAAGATAATAAACATTTTTTATGTTCTTTGAAAATAGCTATTTATTGCCAGAGTTTCCAATATGTTAATGTTATGTTAATTATGTTATGTTATGTTAATAATAATGCCCTCCTGATTTATAGCTACATCTCTTTTTTTTTTAACATTTGGCTTTTCTGGGCATGATTTGTATTTACTGTTGATGATAATATTTTGGCCATTTCAGCCATAATTCTTTGGGATAACAAATAATAATATTATGCAAATAATATTTAATTTACTTACTGGTTGTAGGTGGAAATACGGCAAACATATTAAAATACAACTACTTGGAGCATGGTCACCAAATTATTGCCACCTGCCTGGGACCCTCCTCCACTCTTGGCCCACGTCGTCTGATGAAAATACCAACTGAGTTACATGTCGTGCCATAGTTTCCACTATCCCCACTCTCCCAGATCTGGGGTAATGGCTAAAACAGTGGATACACCCACCATAATCACTCTCTGGGGTCCAGATGTTGTGGTCACAGTCTGTTTTTTCCACTATACCCCCTTTGTATTAAGTGCTTAAGTCTAAACCTAAAGAGAAAACATTTAAACAACATCTTTAGAATCATTTTGATGGGTCAGTGACGTTATGGACAAAAACCTTTTTTTTCCAACTCTGCACCTGAACCTTTTTTTTTTACATTATGTAATGTTTGTTAGCAGGTAGGAACAGTGTGCACATTAAGTGAGGGTGCCGACTCATACTTCTTGACTTGCACAAGACCTGATACGGTTGTTAGTTTGAGTTTTATCTTCAATCTTCAATCCCAGCATCTTCTTGATTAAAGTTTGATGTCATCTGCTGACATTTCCTCCAGTCTCGTCTATGGTAAGGAGACAAACAGGAAGTATTTGTTGAATGCAATTCATGTCACTTAAAACTCCGGACTCAACAGCTGGAGTCAGATCCTTCATGTAGCATGTGACCAACTTTTATGTGGCACTGAAACAGCTGTCTGTCTGAGGGAATCACGTAGTTACACAGTTGTTTTATGGTGCTGTGGATTAACCACACTGTGACTTTATTTCCAAATACAAAGCTACAAACTCCAAAAGACATTGGAACCATTCAGTCATCGCAGGCTGCCTCCAGCTAATTTTTCCCTACCACACAAAGTTTAAAAAAATAAAATGTTTTTGAATTTTAACATGGTTCTGATTTGCCACTTCATTACACAACTTGGACCTTATAAAGTAAGCAGTAATCCGGTAAGATGAATACATCCTCAGATTTATTAGTGTGGTGATAGACAAACCCTGATTCTAATTATTTTCCTACCGTTGTTTGACTTTCAAGTCCCCTATATAGCCCTGTGTTTGAAACATGGAGGGGTGTCAGGCGAGAGGAACTTAAACTTCTGAGTTTTCACCTCATAGCTAAAATGAAAACCTTCAATTGTACCACTATTGTCTTCCCCACGAACTGGAGGAGTATAAGGCAGTGGTCTTACGTCCAATGCATCAAGCGTGCAGCACATGCACATCTGCAAAAAGGACCATTGAGAGGTAACTGTTGCTCAGGCTGCTAGGTTGAAATCACATATTTAGATGTAATTGGTTCTGAAGCTGCTAAAGTACATCAAAACGTGTTCATTTGAGCTATGATTCAGCACTACTTCACAGAACACAGTGAAGTTCAGCACAAGTTCAGTTTAAATTATTCTGGAGTTTGACTCAGTGGAGGCTGTGGAGGGTAGGGTCTGGAAAATGGCAGCAGCAGCAGGCACTGCATTTTTATCTGATGCATATATTATTAACCTCAGTTTGTATCAGGTTATATATGTCTGTATCATTCTTTTTTTGTTTTCCTTCATAGTAAATTTCCATGTACAGTTTTAACACTAAAGTCGCAGAAGTCAGATGTCGCTGAAATATTGATGTGACACATGCTGTTACATCTGAACCTGCAGAGCACATGCAGTTAATTTGAGCAGAAAATACACAGTCTATTAATATGTGTATACCATTAATATTTAGGTGCATCCAGCGTGATGCCATGGGTATGGAAAAAATCACTGGCTTCCATTTGTGTTAACATTATCTAATATGAATAGCTTTTGTGACAATCTGTTTTACCCACACGTGTATCCCTGTGCCCTAACAGTGGATATTTGATTCAGCTAATCTAAAACATATCAGCAAAGTAAGACAAGGCCCACATAATTGGATTAAAGACCCTCACATATGCTCTCTAATCCCTGTGATTTATGGCTTGATCATCAATTGACATTATTCCATGTTCTGTTAAATTAAGACTTGTGCTAATTGCTTACTAGAGACACGATGCTTTTATGCATATCTGTTTTTTTTTCAGTTAGAGCTAGATCAAAACATGTTGCAAAACATTTGACCAGGTATTAGTTATACTATTTAACCTTTTTTTTTTTTTTTTTTTCTCTTGCAGAGCTGATGTTGCATAGGTGTTTGTACGTGTGTGGAGAAGGGATAATACTCTAGTGTGCAGATTGTGTGCATGTGGACAAAACATCCATTCTAAACAAGTGCAACTGTGCACAGTTAATAGTTACCTTCACTGGCTTTCATTGTAGGGATACCTAACAATACAGCATGTGTTACACATTACAGAGGAAGGAAAGGACAGAAATCAACATACCCCCCCAACACACACACACAAACACCCCCCATACACACACCTAAACACATAAATCAGAGCAGGTGCTTCTACACTCAACTGGACTTCTAATTGAAGCCACAGTGGAGCCGGCGGCAGTGTTTGACTCAGTCCACGAACCAACAAAATTCCTTTGTAGTCTGTAGTATCAAGTTCTGTGTTACTGTGTTATCTACATTTTCCTTTTTCTGTCTTTGTATTTTCATTATACAAGAAAAATTTAGAAAAGCCAGCAATTTTATTTCTAGTCATAATTTAATGATCTTCAAATCTAATCTTTAAACCCCATTTTTTTACACCTTTTATGACTTTTATGTGTGATGTACAGCACAGGAAACCTTCTAATCTCTTTGACTGTCCTTTTATGAACCTCTCTGAGTTTGTACTCTTTACAACATTCCCAGAATCTTAAATACAGGCTTTAAGATAAGTACTCCAGAAAATGTTTCGTCCTTGCTTAGAAACCCTAACAATTTTGATTGGCATCACTATGCTCTTTAACATTAACTGAACTGAACTCCTCAAATCTATACTTTCATTTCCTTATCTGTCAATCCAGGTCACCAGCAAGCCCTTTACCTCTTCTACTTGTATGTCATTTAAAACTTAATCTGTGGTCCACTCCTGATCTCCTTCTTTTGATGATTACAGGAAACCTCTGTCTCTGTCCTCCCGGATCCCCTCGTGATTCAACACCGTTTCCTTACCTCAGTGTCCTCTGGTAAGTCTGAATAGCTCCATACTAAAGGCAGTGCAGGGTGTGGGTTTATGAGTGCAGTTCATGATCTAGGCTTATCATCACAGGAAAAGCTGTAAAAAGGCTGAGGGCTTTTTCTGGACCAGAAGGTCCATGGTTCTCTGACTGCCAGGCAGCAGATTGTGTGGGCCTTTCTGGGTCTTGCTTAGATACAGGCAGATGGGTTGTGGTTGAGTTGGTGACTTGCCCAGCAGATTTCCTTCACTATGTCCAAATTTCCTTCACTATGTCATGAAACCGTGATGTCACCTAACGTCCGTTTCATTCTGACTCCAGACGTGAAAGAGAATGAATACATGACTAATTGCAAATTCTGTGTCACAACCTAAATGCAAGCTAATCATTAACCAATTAAAAACATGCTGTGCTTAATCAAATACATTTCTGGTTATCTATTTTAATTTGTCCTGGATGTAACCAGAATGTGAAATGAACATAGACACACAGATAGCACACAAAGTGTTTTCCATTCACCTCACATTGGTTTTGCTTAAAGGTAAGTTTAAATTGTAATTTGCATCCTTTTATTTTGCACTAAAGTAAAAAAAATAGCTCTTCTTATACATTATATCACCTGAACAAAATCAACATGGGACTAGCCTCATTGATGTATATTTCTCATTAAGAAGCTTTTAGTTCCACATTTGATCCCTTGCTTCTTATTTATTCCCTTTCCCAGCCCAAGACTGTTTTAGATTTAAATTTGTACAGTTTTTCTGTTCTTTAGTTTGGCCAAAGTGATTTTTTGATGTAGGTCATTCATAAAAATGATGTCACACTAAGTCACTTCTCTACACATTAGTATTTTTACATTAGTTTACAACAGTGCATTTTCAGTGACATGGGCTACAGTTTGTCAGAATTGCTTTTTAAAAATATTTTGTGCATACATTGTATTTTATGCTGAATATTGTGTGTGTTTGTGTATACTGCAGGAGTGTCTTTCTACTTTAAACCCTTCTACAGTGTATTAGAATGTTGTATTTTGATGAAGCCATGTTGTCCTGTGGCTCTGAAGCAGACAGCGTTATTAGGATAAAATGTTTTGTGGGCAAATTGAACATTTGTTCAAATCACTAGAGGCAGATTTTTCAAATGAATAGTTTAAGAGTTTGGTGGTCTGATCTGTGGTACATTTGAAATTATAGTTTTTTTTTACAATAATAGTGTATTTCATCTTACAATATTTCTTTTTGTTTTGTTAGGTGTGCATAGTATGAGAAAATCCTACAAATTTGCTGTTGCAAAACCACATTTCAGTTTGTCGACAGCAGTAGTTATTTTTTCTACTTTTGTGTTATTGTGTTGGCTTGGAACTATCATCAAGGACTTGGAAATATCATCAAGGTTTTAAATAGTAGTTAATTTATGAACAAAGAGTGATAGCAAACACAGAAGGGGATCACTCCACTTCTGCCTGAAGGAAATCATATGGAAGTTCCAGGAATGTGGGGAATCCCAGACTTTGTTTTGAGCAGTCGGAGATGACTTCCCCCGGGCCTCTACAGGTGGCAGTATAAAGCATCACACCTGGCAACATGGTTGGAAAGAGTAAAACCTATGTGTATTGCATGTGTGAGGTCTGGCATTGTTTGTCATCACATTGGATGGAGGTGGATGAAGAGTTTCATCCTGCCCTGCATGTCCACTTGTGATAATCTGATGCTGACTGACTACCAGCAGGTTCACCTTGAACCTCCTTTTTTGACTAAGTTATCATATTAGCAGAATTTCATTCCTGTTTGATGTACCACATGAATTCTATTCTCTGGAGCAATCAATTGAACTTTGTGTGATGTCATTTTATCAGCTCTTCAAAAACACACTTCTTCCACACAGGCTAGATTAGAGCTGGCAAGTTGTAAAAGGCTCTGAATCCTTCTCTTTGAAACATCTGGTTCGTTTTCATCATCCATTGAATCACATCGATCATGCATCACTAGAATTTTATTGGCTCATCCTTTGGGAAATTCCCGCCTTACCAAGGAAATTGCACAGCGTTTTCAGGTGTATGGGAAATCATTCATGTATAACTTAATTCCAGCTTCTCTTTCTCTCTCATCTGATAGCTTTATGATTAGTTTTACAAACTTGTAAAGAGAGCGAACCTCATGTTGCAATTTGCTAATTTTATTGTAATGCCCTAAAATGTCAGATGGTGCATAAGTTGTAGTCCAATCAAGAGCATGTTCTGTGCCGCTTTTTCCTCTAGAAGTTGTTTCTGGTTTCTAGCCAGAAAGTTACTTTTTATTATTTATATTGTATTATTTGGCCACTGTGGGACAAGGGTCTATCCATCACTTCTGTCAATGGCTGAACTGCACCTTTCGCATGAGTTGCCACAGACACATCTGCAGAAAATACACCGTGAAATTGTGTGGCTCTTGCACCACTGTGACCATCTGCCCTCCCTCATATACCCCCTCCTCCACTATCCTCCCACTCATGTAACTCTCATGCTACTTTGATCTTTGCCAGCCAGAGAACACCCGACAGAACATTTTAGCCTAATATTTCTCCAAAGAAGCAATTTTTTGTCATAATTAACCTCATCTGTTCAGCTACTAGCCAACAGTTTTTGTTTTAGGCTATGGGAAATTTAATGACTTTGGCTTGAGTTTACGCATAGAGCTCGGTTTAAACCTGTTGAAAGTAATTTAGCTCCTTCTTCATCATTAGAAGGAACATTCTCAGCTTTGCATTTACTTGAAATTGATTGGCCAGGATAAATTAATTTACTTTGCAGTTTGTTCTGGGACTCTAGTATGCTTTTTCCCCTTCTGCCAGTTAGGCTGTGAATTGCTTTAAGTAAAAGTCTTAAAACTTACTCGAACCATTCTGAATCGTTTTAGTTCATTTCAAAGGTTAAAGAAATGGTTTTTGTGTTGAGATACCTTCAGTACTTTGCAATCTAATAGGCTTTTTCATTTTGTTATATAGGCATCTGTTTATCTTGTACAATATATGTTGCTGCTGCAGCCCCTCATCCTGTGTTTGTGCATATGCACTAGTCTGTGTCTAATCCAAATCATACACAGACCTCCCCTGGGAGCCAGCTGCTCGTCCCTATCCTGACCAACACTACTACAAATAATTGAAATCCTAATAAAGTGGGTTAATTGAATACTCTTCCTATGCAATGAATTTAGCACATTTAGTCCGAGACGTTTTTCTCAGACAGACAGACCACTATTATCCGCTTAAATATCCCGAGGACACATTTGCCAATTACACGCCACACAACTCTGTTAACCAATAAAAAAAGAAACAACTGCCAGCCATTTTACTGCCTCTCACAGAGGACAGCCACCATGTCTGTGTGTGTGCGCGGGCAAGAACAAGAGAACACGTAAAAAAGATAGAATTGAAACAATCCCCCCCTTATGTCAAATCAGATTGGAACAATCTTGCCATTTCACACCGTCTATATTATTTGAGAGGCTTAGGAAAGGCAATCTAGACTTGCTGCAGGCAACGTGGGGAGTGAAAACACTGTGACACGAGCTCAGCCTTAACCAATTCAATGACTGCTTTCTTCCATGCCTGTGTATGTGAATAATATGAGAATACTTGCCCTGGTACTTAACAGGGTTAGGCATTTTTATTATTCCGTTTTAGTCTAGTTTTTAGATCTCAGCTCCCCTGTTCAGGTGTCTCTCCTCTGGGGGACTTCAGCTTTCTCCATGCTGCTGGTCAGTCTTTCCCACCACACACAGAGAGAAATATGTGTGTTTTTCACTTTTTTCTTTTTTGTTCGGTAACAAGATCAAGCAGTTCCAGCCAAACTAAACAACAGGGAAAAACCTAATCCAAATTTACTGTCCGGGCAAATAATTCAAAGTCTCATTTCTGTCAAAAAGTCTTTGGTGTTTTTCCTATCATGCTATACTACTGTGTTGGAGAGCAGTGCGTAAGATTTGTGAGACTTTTCCTTGATCCAATCTTTGCCGAGAAATGAGCTTTATTACATTAAACAGATTCTGAACTTTTCTACCCGTAGTAGGCATTCTCGTTCTTCCTTTTTCTCTCTCTTTCTAGCAAGAATCTTGCAATTTAAATATCACTTACAGTAAATGTGTCTCAGAGAGTAAGTTTGATAGTGCTGTCCATTTGGTGAATTCATTTCACAGTTATGTTGCTAAAGAATTGAACTTGGTATTTTAATATACTTGAGAATCACAGCTTAAATTGGAAGCCAGAAGTAATGATGCAAATTCTTTAAACATTCTCTAAAATTCCATTAAAGGCCTTTACAAACACTCAGATTAGTAGATCCCCATATTTCTTTTGCATCAAAGATGATTTGTTGATAATCAGAATATTTTCTTAATCTATCCACAAAACTTTTTTTATTTTATTTCAGATGAGCTGAGTGATGCATTCATGACCTTTAAACCACAACCTCCTAATGATATTTGATGGGTGTATCACGTGTTACAGAAAAAAAAGTAAAGCAACTCAAAGTCCATGTTGTTATGTTCATCATAGTAACATGGCTATTTAAATGTAGATTTAACTTCTTAAGTGTTCAAAATAACAATTATTAGACAATGTTTGTAGCTGGAATATCATCTTTAATTGCTGTTTGTTTTCTCTCGAATATCTACACTCACAATCTCCATAAATGTTTCGTCTGTGTTCAATGAAACAGTTCGAGTTCCCCTCTAGATTGCCATCCGCCTAACATGCATTGTTTTATTCAAAACACATCAACTCCATCTGAAACCTCAACACACTCATTTCCCCTTTGAACTGCAAAGACCCAGCCATTCGTCACAGCTGAGGTTGTTTTTGTTTCCCTGTTCCACCCCGCCCCTCCTTCCACAGTGCAGCTGAAGAAACTGCAGTCTACTTGTTGCCACGATTCCTGTCTGCACCAGTCAATCAAACGAACTGAAACGTCACACTGTGCAGTCCCTAACCCCCACTACATTTACCACCCACTCCCAGCACCCTCTACATCA